TGGCAAATTGTGCAAGCAACCCTGAGCCCCCAGGATATCACATGTAACTAATAGTAAGTCCCCCTTCTGCTCTTACTCTGCACCTAAGTTGGGTATTCACATAAAGATATCTGATATTGAAATAACCAATAATGGAGGAGACTTGCAGACAGCAGCATGGAAACTACCCCACTTGCAAAAACAGCATACAAAGAGCTACTCTGGACAACAGACAACATTCACGTTAAGCATGTCTGAGCTGCCGAAGGAAACAAAACATCCTGAAATATGCGCTATATAACACAAATACCACAAAACAGTCTTGGAGAATGCTCAGCATATAATTCCATACACAGTGGTGTTCCTTGACTAAAAATGGGTAAGAACCTATTTACATCTTTAATTTATCATCTAGGGCTGACTCAGATTAGATTACATCTGAAGTCTCAGTTGAGAGTGAACTGCAGCTTGAAATATGCAACTCAGCCTAACAGGGTTCCGATAGACAAGCTCCTCAAAAATGACAAGGATTTCAGCTCTTGGCCATACAGTGAGAATACTCTGGCTCTAATTTTACCTTGATTCGACCAGCTTTATGATTCAAATGATCTTAACTGAACAGAAAAACGGATCTACAGCTGGGAGACCTCCTGCAGTCATAGTCCACCTCCCCTAAGATCCCCAGATGGTCCTGCAGCCTTCTGCTGGTCCCACCCACTTTCCCATGACCTCCAATTATATGGTGGCTTTCCAGCTTTTGTGAAGTTTTTCCCCCATTCTAAAAAGTCGAAATGCCTCCCCCGAGGCTTACTTATTGGCAGCAAAAGATAAAAGCCAAGATATGCTACTCTTTGGGCTTCTGCCTCTACCCTGCTTTGCTTTCTGACCCTGCTCACCTGCAAGGCAGGCCCTGAAAGCATCTCCAAAATGGAATTTGCCTATTGGGATGAAAGTGCACCTCTCCTGGAGGGCTTGTCAGGACAGACAATACTGAGGTAGATGGGGGGAAAAAAACAGCCTGATGAGGTGTAAGGCAGTTTCCTTGACAATCTCCAAAAACCACCTGTCCAGGCCAAATAGTTCCATCTCCATACCATTCCCACCCAGAAGAACAAAATCAAAAGGCATTGGAAGCCAAATGCTCACAAACACACAGAGACCCCAGCCAAACATCAAGTCTCCCCATCACAGACTGGCATTGGGAAATTAAGATCCATGCTTTGTGGTGATTAGCGTACTTTTTCCCATGCTGTCTTCCAACTGCCACTTTCATTTTATTATGTCTTCAGGGATTTTATCAATGCTGTAGGAAATTAGCATAACTAAGAAAATTAGGTTTAGGCAAAATGATAGTGGAATCACTTATTAAGACAACTATTTGGTGATTAGCATTATGACCTTCATTCATCCAGCCTTTAACTCACTTTAATATTTAATATGCAATAAACGATTAAGCTGCTTTACCATTTCAGTCTGGTACTATGGAATGGACAGAAATAACATTGTCACAGTCATTGAACAGTCTTTCGAGAATACTACAAATGCTAAATACCCCTTCTTTCTTTGTTAGTATCTTAAATGAAGCCATTTCTCACTGGAAAACTAATGCAAACAAGAGAACAAAAATAAGATGTATTTGTAGCTTGGAAGGAAGGAAAGAAGGACAAACAGACAGAAATTTGCTTGAAAGGATAAGACTCCAAGGGAATGCAGTGATCCTATGATGCTCCAATTTCAAAAGCATGCGTCTCTATAGACTATAATTTACAGAGTAGGGATGAATGCATTATAAATACATCAACACAGAGGTAACCTGCCTGTTCTAGAAAACTAGAGTAGGCCCACACAGAGTCTTGGGCAAGCATCATGCCAGTTCAGAGTTAAAACTATATCCTAAAGAACTTTAAATGCAACACTTATTCTCAGCCTTTGCTTTATGTGACAGATGATGCCCTGTATTTTGCGAATTCATACAAAATCAGGGACAAATTGGATCAAATAAGTTAAATAGTCAGGATTAAAGTGTAAGGCATTAGCTATATTCTATCATTCCTAAGTACTGAGTTAAAGAAAGCTTTTCACAAGCGATACCACTGAAGCACTGGTTATGGTGTTGATATAACAAACTAAAAGAAGGAGCGAATCAGTTCTCTGTCTTCTATATTTGAAGATCAGATTCATTACTGAACAATGTATTCAGACCCATTTTTAAATCACTGCAGAGATGTAATGATTCAAATCAGAGATAACTACTGCTCCAAGTGCTAATATAAATTTAAGACAGACTTTGAAAGGGAGGGGAAGCCAGTGGTTTGTGTTGCTGGTCCTAATTCCAAATACTTGCCAAGACTAGACTGATTAATAAAGGCACTTGGCTTTTCACTATTTTCTCCACATATTCGCCATGCAGAAACATGCCATTTTCCACATATAGTGCTGCACAGGTGTCAGTCCAGACAGACTACCTGGTCGGCTAATTTATTTGTGGCTGCAAACACAGGTCACAGTGCCATAAGAAATAAAAACGCACCACCACTGCTATAAGAAATTCTTCACTGTGTGCCCTAAATAGAATTAAACTGTTCTCACTGAAGCCAGTGAAGATTTTACCATTCATTGCAAATAGCAGTGATTTGGTTAATGGTCTAGAGTGGATTATGTTGGATGCTTTTAAAAGGTAGACTTGCAGGATAACATTTTTCCCCTCAAACCAAACTCTTCCATTCATCTTGAAGTATTAGCTGCAAGCACCCTCTCAATTGATTTATCAATTTTCTAAGGTTATTTTGTCTCGCTATTGCTTCTGCAGGCTTGTCTGGAAGCATTATCTACTGAAATGCTATGCTGTTCTTTCAAGCCTAGAGCAAGACTCCATGAATATCAAAATATGCATGTGGATCACCACATCACCCTAGTGTAGTTACCTTCTATTTTTCACATTTAAGCTATTCAGCTTATTTATGCCATTCCCACGTAAGACGGTTGTGTAAAATTACACTTTGAGGAGGGGGGATTAACACACTCAGAAATATTGACTTGTCAGTTCTAAAAACAGCTCTGAGGAGTATCTTTTGTACATTGGGCATCTTATATTACTTATGATAACGGAGACAGGTAAGTTCAAGGAGACTTAAATCTGGACAGGAAATAGCATTGGTGGTGTGTGCATAATCTCATGAACTTTGATACTGAATGCAACATTCAGCTTCTAAGACGACTCAGCTCTCTCTCTCTCTCTCTCTCTCTCTCTCTCTCACACACACACACACACACACACACACACACACACACACACAGAGAGAGAGAGAGAGAGAGAGAGAGAGAGATCTCAACTTGAAAAGACAGTTGGATACTGACTACATGCAGACTTGCTTCTCTTCAGCTTCATCACAGACCTTCTGACAGTGCCCTGGGACTTGACCTGCACAGCCTGATACTACATCTTAAATCCAATTTGAAAACACCTGCTGTTTCAATACTAGCTTGGCATATGGTATGGCAAACTGATGTCTCAGCAGCACAAGCCCACAGATCCTTTAGACTTACTGACCTTGCTGCGTGACTCTGCACTTATGACCAAAAATGTATGCTTAGCACCTGGCGCAGCAGCAGAGATAGGGCTGGGCACATTGAACAGGTTTTCCCGCCTTTAGTGCTCTGTGTAGCTCCTCACCACCCCATGTCATTTGGATCATTTATTCATAACTGTATCATGCATATGATCCATGGTCCCAGCTAAGCTTAAAAGTTGTCTAGAAAAGAACAGGACTTAATCCATTGATCAGTAGAGGCAATAAAAAGGCAGGAAAGCCATCCATTATCAATGCATTAAAAAACCAACAAAAAAGGAGAGGTATATGCCCCTTTCATTCCTTTACTGAAGAGTCCCTAGCCCTTGGCTTTAACAAGATGAAATGATCAGTGTGTCAAATTATCTGCAAAACAATTTTTGTATGGATTGTATAATGAGAAGCTGCAGCATATACGCTGACCATGCACTCTTCAGATCACTTTGAAATTGTCCTATTGACTTTGGCGGGATAACTTCAGAACTGCGGCACTGAAGAGTTTTAGCCAACTGCAGTCTTAGCAATAAAATGTTTTTACTCTTGTGGTCACTGCCAATTTTTTTTAATACAAATCCTCACACCACAAATGCTGACAGCTGAAGGAATGTTTGTGCAAAAGAGTACTTTGGTATATAAACTCAGGGTCCATCAAGTAAGCTCTTTTCTCACAGGAACAGGGAGTCAAAACATGCAGTATTTCATGCTGCTGAAACCAGCACCCCTGCTGTTAAAACAATTCCCAGCTACCGATCAGAAATGCTTCTCAGTTCCTTCCTTGCAAGTCTTTCAAGGAAGGAAGTTCTGTCCTTCCAAGACTTTCAAGGAAGGACAGAACTGTACTTTTGAAGTGAACTGACTAGTTTTGATCTGCTTTTGCAATGTGCCCACGCAACTAAATTCAGGAATCATATCATAGACATGTAAGAGCAACTCTGTTACATAGCTACCCAATACTCTCTGAAATGCAGCCATCTGTCTGTGAAACGTTAGGCAATATTTTGTGTTTCACTGATCATGTCATTAGATATGTCTCTGCTCACTTTTCCTAGAAAAGTCTGTCTATGCTTTATTACAGATTAAATACTCAAGTCACTTTGGACTTCTGATTTTCAAATTCACTACCTCCAAGAAGGGCAAGTCACTGGTATTACCAAAGTGTGCATTGACAGCTATTGATGTTTGCTCTCATGAGTACTTAGTTCCTAAACTCCTAAAAAATTACAGGTCTTTGATATGCAACTTGGAGCAGTAAGTGGCTTGCAAATGCATTAATTTATAAATACAGTTAATACATTTAATTTCTTCTTCAAACTGTAAATTTTTGAGCAAATACACAACCAAGCTGAGAAGTGACACATCTCATAAATATATTATTCAGTGATTAACACCATTGCCTATTCTAGGTTAATAAACAGCTTTCTTACATACTTAATCTTATCATAATGTACTTACAATCTGAAGAATATTCTATCTGTGATGACTGAACAGTTCCTCCCTCAGCTGGCTGAGGAGTAACCAAGCTACTATCAGCCTGAGCCTTGCGGACAAGTGCTGCCAGTGGGTGATCAGGATCCACCACCTTTAAAGGCTGCAAGAAGAAACACACATATCAGAAAAAGATCTTCACAGACGTCCTCACACACCAAACTTCATAGCCTCAACTGACAATCCATCTTTAAAAAAGGGTTACAGGACAGTTTATAAGACAGAAATCAGATTGAAAATGCTCTGGAGAGAAGGGATCACCCTGCATTAGGGATAAAGCTGCACCACTGGACTATTAGCCTCCAATATTAAAGCTTTTTAAAGTTTTAAAAGTATTAATTAGTATTACACAATACTAATTCTGTCACAACCTATCCTGTGAGCCTCATCCCATCTATTTTACACAAACGGTGGAAAAGCACAAACAGTGCAGAAGCAACAGCATTTTTATTGGGACCATCTAAAGAGTGAACAGCTTTGAGTTCGTTAAGGTACTTGATCAGACTGACTGTTCAGCAAGACCAGACTGACTGTTCAGCAAAACCAGAGGAGGAACAGGGAGGAAATGAGAAAAAAATGTTAACAAGGACAAGATGAACATGCCTTGGCATGGAGGAGAACAAGAACACCTGGAAAAACAGCATGCAACACACCTCCATTTCAATTTTAAGACTACTGCAATCTGCAGATAGCAGAGATTATTTTTGTGTACTTAAAATTCAGCTGGAGGAAGAATTCTGAATTCCTTCAAGGCTTCTTCACTGACATTTCAGCTGCTCCTCTTAAGACTTTTGTCTCTAATGGACACACAGTAACCAGCAGTTTTTCTCTGCTACCAAGGCACAAAGGCCTGCTATGGGTTTCTATCTGTGCCCCCATTCATCAGACTTTCAAAGTTTAACACAGGCCTACCATATGTATCCTAGAAATCTGCATAACTGTAGGATAAATTCCTTGAGTGATATCTGCAATTAGTATCAACTGAACATAAAATCCTATTGCTTTACAAAGTGAGCTGACTGCCAGCTTATGTACATACCATATTATCCACAACAACAGTTGCTCAATCAAGCAGATTGACTTATGTTTCACTTTGCACTTTGGGACATCAGAGTCACCTAAATTAACTTGTAACTTCAATAGGAATATGGGTATAATATCTACATCATTTTTTGATGTGTTGGAAAAGATGGCTAAGGTTATAAAACCCTTACAATTCATTCTGAAAGCCCAATGTAGGCACATCTGGGACTGAAGTTCTTTTAATAGCAGCTCCTAAAGCTATATAGAACACTACTTCAAAATTTTACAAAAAGGGTATAATATGGTATTAGGGGCTAACAATGCGAATAAGAGTATAGTAATCATAATCGCATAATGTCCTGTATATCCTGTACTCAGACCCAACAGTTCCATTACCAAAAAGGGATGACATTCAACAAAATATATGGCTCTTGACATCTGGCTAAATACCTTCATAAGCTCTTCAAGTCTATTGCGCTTTTTAGATGCAAAGAGGCTTGGATGCAGGTAGTTATCTCCATCATCGTCATCATCTTCTTGATCAGAATTCCCTGCACATATTTAAGAATTGTATGGTTATGTTTTATATGTTCACAATGACATGAAAAGTACTGGATTATAAAATCTCTAAATGCATTACTGGCTATGAAGATGTATAAATAAATCCAAAATTACAATCAGGTAATCTTCACGCCTTCTAACTGAGGCTTGCCAATTCATGTTTTAGAAGTAGTGTACAGCAGTCTAAACATACTTGGCAACCTACAATCAGCTCCTCCTTCAGCTGTGCTGGCTCATACATGAACCTGAACCAGTAGCTTGTCTAGGAGTGTTGCAATGTTTTCAGTCAAGAATGCAGATATTAAAGCTGTCCAGAAACTTGTTTTAGTAATGGACATAGAAAATTTTTAAATATATTAATGCAAGATGCTCACTGGGATACTGTACACCTGATACACACCAAAGCAAGTTTGAACACCTATATTCGTTTCTTGCATAGTCTCCATCCCACAGGAGTCCCATTGAATCCGCAACAACTCACCCAACCCCTTCAAAACATCCTTATAAAACTGTACTTTAGATCATTTTAGTAACATGAAAAATGTATGTGGCTCAATGTTTCTGTCAAGAAATCTGTCTCAAAGCCAGCCTCTTATACCTTTAGGGCAGACACATCAAAGAGGTGAAGAATGCAATTATAACTTAGGTCTTTTCAAACAAAATTTTAAAGCTAACTTCACTAAATGTTGTTGAAAGTTGGGCTATGCCCTGAGAACCCATCATTCAAACATCTTTAAACTCCTCATAATCATCTGCCAGCAAGCTCCATGGCCTTTGGTAATGACTTGTAACATTTACAACAGGAAAACAGTTCTCTCAACTGTCAGATACCAGAATAATTTAGACAGAAATGCAGAAGCCTACAGCTGCTGCACATCCAATGGCATTTAAAAAGGATAGCTTACTTTTTGCTTCTTTTTTCTTTTCTGAAGGCGCAGCATATCGCCCCTCTTTCATGGCTTTCTGAATAAATTTGTAGTAAGGGTTGAGGTAGTGGTCAAATCGCAGAAAGTCAAACTGAGAGTTCCGAGCTTGTTTTGCTTTCAGCATAATCTCAAACTGGGCCCCCTGCTTGCAGACAAAATTTGCAGTTCGTTCTATGATGGCATGCATTTTGGCTGTTGGTGGCTATGACAAAAAATGGAAATGCTTGTGTTTATTTTCAAGAATTCAATTCATCCAGTTAGGCTAGTCCAGCAAAATCAGCAAGAATATGTATTTATATTATGAGAAATAGAGAACACTATATAGCTTCCAAAACAAGTAATTGGCCTTTAAGATATGAGACTTGACATCCCATATGGTCCAAATACCTACTGGGATTTGCAGAGTCAGAGGGACAGTTCATATGATCAACAAACCATCCTGCAATAAGCCACTGCTTGATTCCCTCTCAAACAAGCCACTTTGCCCAGATTCAGACAACTATGACAAGCCACACTCAGGAAAACGGCTCCTGGCACAGCCAGGAATTAAAACAAGCCACTATACTGGCTGTTTTGATCATGCAAACTAGATCACAGTCTCACTTCAGTCTACTATGAATTCCAGAAACAGGGTGGGCTGGCAGAATGGCACACTGAATTCAGTTTGGTGAGTGGCAAATTGTTCAGGAGTATTAATTACAGATCCAAGCCAGAAAAATTGTAATTAGAGATAATATGGAAAGTTCTGCACTCACAATCACTAGTGTTGGCCATGACAGCCTGAATTTTTCAAAACCGAACCCCCTAGGAGCAAGAGGAGGAAGGTTTCGGACTTGCAGAATCTACTTGGCTATTTATTAGCTCTACCATGCAAAACCTGCCCAGGAAGTTACTTTGAATAGCAGAACGGAATAGCAACCAGTCCTTCACACAGTTTCCACTCCTGGTTACTGTCCTGTCTCTCCTTCCCACCTCTCCCCAGCTTTCTTCATTTTAGCAGTGCATTTTACATTAGCCAAGATTGCCATTATTAACCAGCTGGGCATCAGAGCTCCTTCCCAATCTACTGCAAACCCGGAAAGATCTCAAAGATCCCTTAACTACCTTCTGCCCACCCAATCTACAGCAGTGTGCCATTTAGGAGACAGACATATGCTGTTCAGTTTTTGTTTAATTTTGCACTATGCCAGATCTATTTTCCTTAATGGCATGAAGTGTGGTTTCATTCCCTCTTCCTTTAAAGTTAGCAATTTTAAAAAAGACACGATGCTAGTGAAATTGGATAGCAAAATGAGGCCATTGCATAATGTCCTCTACACAGTTGGCAGATTTTTCCATCAACAGCTTCATAGTTTATTCTGATGCTGCTGCTCAGCATTACTCCAATTACGCAGTTATTTTAAAAAGCAACAGGGCAAACAATATTTAAGGTAAGAAAAGATGAGATCATGAATCACATGCATATATCTGGCTCAAGGACAAGTTGGAAATGGCACATTCCTGTGATGTACCTGCGCATTTGTAACAAGATGAGAAAACATGGCAGTAAATTATCTTCAGACTGACAGAATGACCTCCCAGGCAATCTTACGTGGATAGTTATGATCACTGATACTAATGATGCAACGAATGAAAAATGTCTTCCATTTTAAATACAGGCATGATAATGGGATGTGGGTAGAACCCAGACTATAGCAGACTTCTGCAACCTGATGCCTTCCAAATTTTTGCATATTAAGATTTTAAGCACGTAAACCTCACACTTACGCTGCTTCCAATGCACTAGTGACTAATGTATGAACTGACATGAAAAGGCAGAAAATACAGCAAGAGACCATGACTCTATGGCAGCGTCTCCTGACCTGGTGCCCTCTAGGACCTTTGAACGGTACCCCCTCGGTATTCATAACTGTCGGCGGCTAATGGGAATGGGATCTGGAAAGCATCAGGTCAGGGAAGGCTGCTCTGCAGAAACTGATGTGGGTTCAGACCAGGCAGAGTCATCCAATTCCACTGCCCAAGCACTAACTCCACTTCTTTTTCAGCAAAGCAAACTTGTATCAACAGGAGATCAAACAAAGCATCATAGCAAAACCATGGCACAGGGCTGCCAGCAGAATACCAGACAGCAGAGCTGTCCTTATCAGTACAGAAGCAGAAGCCTTCAACGCCTACCCAAACTACCCGACAGCAAATGTACATTCCATTAACTGTGGAACCCAACACATGATTCACTCTTTTAATCCAATAAATCTTTTAAATTAAGGATTCATCAACATATTTTTAAATCTATTTCACATTGTTAAGCTGTTTCATGCCGTTCAGGGAGACAACCTAACAGCATGCTAATGCTTTAAGGGAGATAATTATATTGGCAAAGAATCCACTTTGCAAGGTGTTTAACGCAGTGGCATTTCTGAACATGCATTTTGCATTATTTCATGTATCCAAGAGGACCATCCTTCCCAAAATGGAGGAAATTGCTGATTCACTCTTCCTTCCTCTCAAGTTAAATAGGAGGCGTGACTCAGTGTAAAAGAGAACCCTGCTACTAAACATTCCCACTATTTCCCTTCCTAAGTGACCATTTTGCATTTGCCTTTGATTGGAATGAAGCAAGTCCAAAGCACTGAACTTAAGCAGGAATACAAAGGTGAGCCTCTTTCACGAGAATGATTCTGCTGAGCCTCTATGTCTGGAGCACCTGAGCGATCCTCACACTTAACACAAAAGATATCCCAGAATGACAAACCCTGGGGGAGCCCAGCGGGGAAGAAGCAAGGCCAGAGCATGCAATCATGCAGATACCACACGCAGACTCCTCTAGGGCAGGAGATACATATTAGAAAGCAAAGGAAACCCTTACCAGTTCCACGTCAGAAGGTACATTCAGTCCCAAAGGGGCAATGAAAGGCTCTTCATTTTCTTCTGACTTTTCTGGCTTGGACATAGCAACTACAAATTAAAAAGATGTTGTGTTAAAATACAATCAGAAGACAGCACATACAAAACACATGCATACTTCAAACTAGACAGCCACATTTCTATCTGTGTCCATTTATGTATTATGCACCTATTTTGCTTAGCAGCTTCTGTTTACTTGGTTAGCCAGGCATCCTCAGAGATGCTTAAAATATGGCTTGCCATTCTGACTGACCATACAACACGTAGCATAACAAGACATTTTGCAAAGATTTGCGATGAATTGGAGATATTCGCTGCAAATGCTCTATGCTAGTTACAGTGAAGCAGCCTGCCAGTGCATGTGGTTCAGGGGATCAGAACCAACTGAGAAGACAACACGGCACAGCACTTAGAGAGCAGTCATGGTATTCCCCAACAGTTGAAAATCAAATCTTTATGGAACCGATAAGTCAAGCTAAGTTCAACACCTATTGTTATTTGCATTCTTACTTAAACATACGCTTATATCTTGTGAACTGTAAGCCAAAGGAAGCTTTTGAAGGGTCCTTCTCTCATCTGCAAAGCACAAGCAGTCTGTGCCAATCTAAAATCAGAGGGAAGATAGAACACTCTGATCGCTTAACAAAGCGTCCTCCCTATCCTCCCTTTTCCAGCTTCCTGTGGCTTTAATCATAACTAATATAGCACCTCTTATTCAGGATTTTTAACATCCTAATAAATACATAGAAGGAAAATGAAACCAATAATGAAAACGCTATTTTATAGACGTGGTTCTGACAAAGTTATACTGTTCTAAAGGTGATTTCTGACTTAAGCCACGTGGGTCATCACACTGAAGTTCTTATGTACAAAAAAGTCCCCCTCAGGCTGTAACACAGTGGCAGATATTGCAAATCACACTAATTCTTATGACACATAAAATCAAAGGGCTCAGAACACCTAACCTTATAAATGACCAAAGCTTAACAGGCAAGTGTTCCGTACAGCAGAGTGCTGAATCTGCTCTTTGTCCTAAACCGGCAGGGACAATTCAACAACTGCCTACCCTTTTCCAATATTTTCAAACATTTCCTGCAAAACTCCTTTTCTACCTTTTTCTGGAACAAAAGCATATTTGGGAAAACACTTTCAGGCAAACAAGTTCACTGCAGGGGACCAGTTTTAATAATCTGCCTTAAAAATATTTCATTCCTTCCAGTGCTGCTGAAGACTCAAAAGTGCACTATGAGGGCTGATGGAACTATGATTCTCACCATAACCGTAGTGTTAAAAGCATTCAGAATGTCTCAAGGAACTGGAAGGAAACCTCACACATTAATTGTTGGAGTGACTGTTACTCTTTGAGATTCTGATTTGTTATTCTCAAGTATGATTTAGAGAACTTAAACTGCCTACATAAAAAACCTGGTCACCCGCCCACCACCTCCCCATTTATTTTAATTGACAGTTAGGGAAAAAACAGGGCTCTTATTCAAACCTGACAATCATCTCAGAGATTTTTTTGTTTCTGACTTTAGCAGAGCATATTTCTCCACTAAGAATTGCAATTTCTGACTGCAGGCAAACACTTTCAGTTAGGAGATGATGCTTAAAATTGCCACCCACTTGGAAGTGAGAATCAACCCAGAAGACTTCTGTAAAATGCAAGGAAGTTGATTATATATTTCATTTCAAGTCAACCAGGTGCCTCTGCGAACCCCACAAGCAGGACGCAAACAGTTACAGCACCCACTGCTTTCTCATTTTTTCAAGTGAGTCATATACAGAGACATACTACTTCTGATGCTGGAGATAATATATAACCATTGTAATCCCCTTCTGTAAGTTGATCAAGACGCCAGCGGAAAAGCAAGATAAACCATCCAGCCAACAAACTACTAAGCAACACCCAACAATCAGGATGCACAACTACACAAAGCACACCACAGTATGGAGTGCTGCCATGTCCACTCTGTTTCCTTTTCTCTATCTCCCAGATAAACACAACTCAGAAAAAAAGTCCACACCTCCCACTTCACCTGGCAGCCTCTTCTTAGAGGAACCCATCTCTGGTGAGTCATAGCAGGAATCCACAGAAAACAATTTGGCAGACATTGGCTTTTGTACACAGACAACACTTGGTGAACACAGTGTTTTGTACGAAGGACTTCAGAGGTTCATGCACCTTCAATCATTATTCTTCCCAGATCTCCAAAAGAGTTCACTCTGAGAAGTAGGAAAGCACTGCTTTCTGCAGAAAAGGCACTTTCCTGGTGAATCCACGAATCTTCCTACCTTTTGCTTTTGAAGGCTGTTCTTCTTCCTCAGTGGGTTCTGAAGGATCATAATAATCACTACTGTATGTGAACCCCACTGCATTGTAGGTACCATCTTCTGCCAAAGCTTCACTCAGCCTCTTATATTCTTCCTCTTGAATAAAAAGGCAAGATTCAATTAAATAATGTCCAGGTTTTCGTTACGGGTCACTGTTTTGTTTAAAGTATGTTAAAGTTTTAAGCCTGACATTCAAGAACAAACATTACAGCAAATTCACCACAAGGGTCATCTGTGGTCACTTAGACTCCTGCCAACCCAAAGGGGCAGAAGGCATGTGGTTTGGGATGATCATTCCTCTCCTGCTGAGATAGGTGTCTTAAGAGTTACACCAGTCTACTTGAAACAAAGAAAAAGGCACAAACGTTTCATTGATACAATACTGCCAAAGAAGAGCAGTTTAAAGTGTCTCAATTCTCAGTCTGCCCTCAAAACTCGGGCAATTTCTGTGTGGCTCTACATATAAACTATCCTGAGGTCCTCTCAGATACGCAAAGACGCTTGTTTTTCGAATCCACTGGGTACTGTCAAAATAATATCAGAAAGAGTGAGTATATAATGAGTGGGAACATTTTTTAATAAAAAAAGAAAAGTTACTTTAAAATTTTAAAATTCAATGTGTTCTAACTCAGGAAGTTGTCCTCAAGCAATACCTTGCCTTGCCTCCTCCTCAAGCAAGTCCGTACGCAAGGCTAAATACCTCTCTTCATCACAGAGGGCTTCTATTCTAGCTTCCTCTTCGGATAATTGGTAATCTCTGTTCCATGTGGAATATTCAGCATCGTATTCAGAAAGGTCATGCAGGTGACCACGGCCATCATACCTGCAACATGAAAAGCATGGTCAATGAAAGAACTTTGGGCTTTAGTTTCTGCCACGACACAAATACTTACCACAAACAAGTGGGGAAAATCACATAAGATGTTATATTACGGGTAATTTAATCTGACTAATCTCCCATTTCATTTAAATTGAACACACACACACACTCTAAAAATCTGAGTTCCCCCTTAAAGGTTGAGTATTACAATTACAGGCAAAATATCTGAGTAGTTAAAGAGGAATCAGTTCCTTCAAAGTTCTTACCGTTTATGGTTCAACCATTCAACACCCTTGCCAAAATACTTTTTTTTTCTGGAAAGGCAAATAGCTTACATTTACACAAACCCAAATACATAAATACCTATCCGTAAGAACCAAACGGTCGCAATTTCCTCGCTTCTTTCTGCTAGTGTCGAACTCTCAGGAGAAATCTTCACCAAAGAAACTTGCGTCCATTGGAGGTAAAATCATGGCTAGGCTCGGCCCCTAGCCATACGGCTGAGGAAAGAAGTGCTGGGTTATGTGATAGAGAGACACACATACAAAGGAACAGTAACATGTGTGTAATTTAAGGAGGTTTCAATAGAAGGTACAATAATAATGCTCAGGCATACAAGCCTCCTCAGTGGTTTGCTCTGGACTTAATTATTTGTCTGGTCATTGCTAGCAAATAAGACTCTTCTTCATGAAAGAATATTTCTGTAAACTGGATTGCCACAATTGTATAAGTTGGTAGGTGATTAGCAGGCATTCTATGGGCTAATGATTTCTGTGCAATTTGTGAGAGGCTAGTTTAATTTATTGAAGAGGTCTAAAGTATTAATCTAGTCTTTGTGAGCAGGCAAAAGCGAGCTGACAGAAATAAGATGGTAAATTCCTCCACTGTGAATTGATACCGCATACTAACTTACTTTGGGAGCCTTGTTATTTAAAAAAACACAATTGGCAAAGTATTTCTAAGAGGCCAGCCTTGCTAATTAATATGCATCTTCTGGCAGGTTTTTTTTGTTGAACAGCTCAATACCAATTTTACTTCAGACAGTCAACACTCCTAGACTGCTCAAGATAAAGAAAATATGCAGTTCTAAAGATAAGGATCAGCACAGGAGTGGAGAATACTTCAGCCACCTCCATCACATTTTAGGTACCTGATGAATGTCCTACTTAATAGAAACAAGTTTAATACTATGGATGAAAGAATGTCCATAAACCTCCTTAATTTACAAATGTAGATTGTTTAAAGATCATAAGCATATGTAGAATTTGCTGCAACCATTTTTTCCACAGCTGATTGATTCCAGACTATAAACTGTCCCATACATGAACTCCCTGCTACAAAATATTACAGAAAAATGTAAGACACTTGAATTTAAACTGCTATTGAAATTGGTTAGCATGAAGCTGAGTTCTCTAAATCAATTCTCAGTTTAGTATCTCAAAAGTAATCCTACAAAAGAAAAAAGAAAGAAATTTGTTTGGCTATATGCTCAAAAACAAGACATTATTTAGTATCTCTAGCATTTGCCTGTATTCAAAGATTTATTTATTCATTTATTCATAGAAAATTCATTTTAAAGGTCCCACAGAAAATTACTTCCCTCATACTTTAACTTCTAGAAGGAATATTGCAACGTGCAAATTAATTTTCAGTTTGGGGCCTGGAATCATGTCAACTGACAAAGTTTGTATAAACAGAAATGGAAGAAGCAAACACTTACAATATGCCACATACTCCTTTTCAAACCAAAGCTATTCAGACTTTCCTGCATTAAAGAGTATTGGGATTCCAGCTCTTCCTCAGTCATTTCAGTTTCATTTTATATTAGTATTCATGAGAAAGTTCCTACCTACCCCATCACTAAAACTGCAGAGACACAATAAGCCAATCCTGGGACTATCCAGGCACAGGGGAAATGAAATCCATCCAACCACAAGCACAAAGCTTTGTTCTATTTATACACTTTGGCTTCAAACAAAAACAAAAAACCCTACTATGAGAAACATATACAAGGAACATAGAAATCATCACCTAAACACAGCTTTCCATTGAACTATGAGTTACTATAAGATCCTGATTCTATATTAACTGTTAGTCCACTAACTAAAACACAGTGAAAACCATTTTTTGGCAGCAATATCAGTCACAGAATCTTAAGGATTTGCTGACATGCACAGCAGCTCCAAAATCACCAGAAACAGAATGAGCATAATAAAACAGCTAAAACATTTCACTGGTTTAAGCCCCTGTTCAACCATGAAGCTAACAGGGAAATTTGGAGGCAGTCACTATACTTCAATCAAACCTGTTTCACAGAACTGTTACAAAGATGCCACTCAGAAAGCCTTTGTAGGAAGTTAAGCAGAAATCATAATAAAAGAATATTTCTTAATAGTGACATGGGGAAGTGAAGCATTCCAAGCATTATTTTGGAAGGGGACTGAAACACTATCAGCAACTCTGGGTTTAATTATAGAATCCATTAATCTTGCCTACATTTTGACAAGCCTTGTTGGAAGTTAGGATGGAATGACAGAGAGCAGAAAACACTGTGCACAACCCAACGAAAGCCAGAAAAAGCCACAATGTATAATAAATTGCAGGATTACCTAACTACTAAATTCATTTAAAATCCAAAGGAAAATCAGTCCAGTTTTTTTGCTTTCTTGGAGGTATCTTTTTAAAAATGCTAGTTTTCCTCCAGTTTTAATGCAAGTCCTTATGAAGTTTGGTTTGAAAAGGAGATTACTCCAGCCCCAGATAGAGACACGCCCCACTCCTACAAGGGGGAGGGGGTCAACAACACAGTAACTCTCTGCCAGGAAGGACGGGAACATTGGGGAAGAAAGGAGAGCCAGCAGCCCCTAGTTACTAAGCCTAGACTATCTACAGGCAAGTCTTAGACCTACACAATAAAAATATCTCCAAATTTCCAATTGGCACCTCTGCACCTTTATTAACAGCTCTACACACATGAATGGAGCAGGAAAAGCTATATGTGTCTCCCCATCCATCCTTCTTCGGCTCTACTATATTTATCTTCACAACCAATTTTAAAGAACTTGCTATGTTGGCTTGATGTATCAAATACATGAAGGGATTCAGATGCACTCTGAAGACTAACAGATTTACAGCAGCGTGATCTTCCATGGCCTAGAACCCATTTCAGCAGATATACTTCAGCTGGAAGATGGGCGTGGTCTTAATTTCCCTTTGGTTGCTGCTAATGCTTTTGGGTTCAGGTGAGCTATTTTAGAGATGCAGTAAAAACTTACTCCACAATAAATCTGTTAGTCTTTACTGTTGCATGTTATTTGTTTTGGTATCACAAAAAGTGACAGCAAAAGACATCCCACACCAACCCAAAAGTAGCAGCAGGGAAATATCGTTACTACAGGGCCAAGGAACCTGGTGTCCTTCCAGATATTTTGAATGACAACTCCTACAATCCCCGATTATTGAGACTGACAGGTGTTGTAATGCAAAACATTTGGAGAGCACCCAGTTGCCAAGTCCTGCTTCATTAACACCAGCTAGGCCTCCACAAACTCAGCAGCTGTCGCATGGTACCTTAAAAAGCCCCAAACCTTTTCCATACAATCCATTACTTGCTTACTCAGAAGCAAAGCACCACTGCATCTAACGTACATTACAAATTTTCAGCTAAGCCGGCAGAGGATCATAGCATCCATATTTGCACTCTTACTGTCAGTTTGGATCCCCCCCCTCCAAAAAGATCAAGACTGCTACCTGCAATCCTGGGTGGAAGTGAAGGGCCTACTACCAGTATTACTACCATTATCACTTCAGACCGGCCTTTCCAGCCGTCCTTTCTCCCGCCGTTCGGTCTCCCGCGTCCTGCTTGGCAGAGGGTCGCTCCAAACATCCCCTGCCACCCCCACGTCATTAAAAAAGGAATAAAACAATGACAAGAGAAGCGATAGGCGGGCGGGGGTTCGTTAGCACCGACCTATCGATCATGATGGAGGAGTCTCCCATCCAAGGGATGAGGTGGCGGCCTTGCTCCTGCTGCAGCGCCTTCTCGTCGTCGCGAAACAGCTTGCAAGCGTAGCCGAAGACCAGCAGCTCCACGCGGCCGCTGCCGCCGCCACCTTCGCTGCCGCCGCCGCTCGGACCCCCGGCCGCAGCGGGCAGCGTCCCCACGCCGCCAGCCGACAACATCGTGCGCGGCGGCAGCGCCGCCGGGCCGGCCTCCGCCGCCGCCGCGCTCGCCCGCCCGCCGTACATCGCCGAGGGACCGCGGCCCGTGCCCCGCGGGCGAGGGGGGCGCTGGCTGCCTCGCTCGCGCGCTCGCACCGCTGCCGGGCCCTCCTCACACCCGCGTCGCCGACCAACGCCCCACGGGCCCTTCCAGCGTCGCCATTGCCCGCGACAAAATGGCGTCCCGTCTCCTTCCGGCGGCTGAGGCGGAAGCTGAACCCGCCACGACTGAGTTTAAAGGCAGATGCGCGTTCTTCCCCTACCGGTAGATTCGTCACCATCGAGGGAGCGCGGACTGTAAAAAGAATCGGTGCGAAGGCTTTGCTTTCCAAGCTCTCTGAGAAAACAGGGAATGTTTTGTTCTTAAAATAAAGGGAATTCCTAAAGAAAAGATTAAGGGGAAAGGGAGGGCGAGCGGTGTCGAAAGTGTCGTCGCGAATCGTTAGGCCTGACAGGCTTGTATAAGCTTTGGGGTGGTGAGAGGAAGGACACGTGGTATAGAGATAGACCCTAAATAAAGGGAAGAGGAGTGCCAAACCTCGACTGATCTAACGCCTGGACTCCAGCTCCTATCTATCTATCTATCTATCTATCTATCTATCTATCTATCTATCTATCTATCTATCAACATTTTTATGTTTTATCTATCTCCCCAGCCAGGCTAGGGTAGGAGCTGTAGTACAGCTTAGCTGGAGGATATCTTGTGGCTCAGTGCAAGTGTGTTTAGGCTTGCTGTCCTGGCTCAGTGCTATGAAGACTGGAAATGGCTTGCTAGAGTTTCAGGCAGGAACCTTTCTGACTGCGTACCTATATCCACGTACCTGGAACGATGCCCCATTCAACTCAGTGGACTGCACCACTTTCTGATTGAAGGAGCGCGCCAGTCTAAATGTATCATTGTCTGCTCAAATACAGGATTTACCGGGTGAGGTCACACGTTGGTGCAAGCAACCCTGCGAGTGAGTGAATCGCGGGAGAGTTCACTGCAGCCCATTGAACTCATTGGAAACTGCTCTTGAGAAGACATGTATAGGACTGCGCTACAGGAGAGCAAGCCTAAACACGCTTGCAAGGAAGACTAAGTGAACACAGTGGTGCTTAGTTCCATGTGAATGTGCAAAGAGTTACACTGGCAATCTATGCAGATCTGTACTGAAAGGAGGGGGAGTCTATGTTTTTATGGAGTAGTCAATTCATTGACTAAAAGTCGGTGAAATCAGTTGCCTGAAAACTTTTTGATCAACTACCATTGCTAACAGTAATTTGGAGTGTGGATATTAATTCTGTTACTATCTGCTGTTTGATTAATCATTAAAAATGATCAATAGTAATACATATTTTAAATATCAGTTGTTTGATTAATCAGTAGCAATTGTCATCCATCTTTTTATAAATGGACAGATGTATGAAATTAATTGGCTAAACATTTCAGCTCAGAAAGAGGCAGTTTCTCTTCAGTTGAATAAAGGGAAAGCAGCTGGGGAATTGCATGCAAACCCAAAGACAGCTGTTCACATAAGAAAGTTCATTCATCTATGGTGACCATATTCATGAAAGCCCTTTAAAGTGTCTCAGCTCTTCCAGGTATAAGCCTGTAGCTTCCTTAATGGATTTATCTTGTATTTGTTCTTCCTCTTCTACCTTTGACTTTCCCCTAGCATGATTTTCTTCTCCAAAGAGTCTAGCCTTCTCATGATGAGCCTGAAGTACAACAGTTTCAATTTCATCAATTTTGCTTCCAGGGCAAGTCCAAACTTTATTTGATCTAGATTCCACTATTCCTTTTGATCCAGGATGCGCGCAAAGCTCTGTTCCAGCTTCATGTTTTGAATGCATCAGTTGTCTTCCTGACAGTTTTCTTCACTGCCCAGCTTTTATACCCATAGATGTTGATCAGGAAAATGATAGTGTGATGAGTTTTGGTCTTCGTCTCCAGTGAAATGTTCTTACATTTGATGATCTTTCCTAGTGCCTTCATTACTGTCCTTCCAAGACTCAATCTTTATCTAATTTCTTGGTTGCAGTCTCCATTTGAACTGATGATTGAGCCAAGGTGCCCAGTTACATCATTGCTGATATAAAATTTGTGTTTTTCTTCAGTAGTCATAGTTTTTGCTACTTAATGTTCAGCTGCATTCCCACCTTTGCATTTTCTTCTTTCACTTTCATTAGAAAATCAGGTCATGTCCTTAGTAAAAGCTCTCCCATCAATTTTACACGTAAGAGAAATAAATTTGAGCTTCAAAAGTAATTTTATTTGCCTTGAAAGTAGAAGTGGTGGGAAAATTTTTACAAAGGACACAACCTGTTTAATCAAATCTTAGTTGATTAATGATGTATTCTAGTTACTTTACTGGTACATAAATGTAAAATAAACAAGCAAATTGTAGTTAATTTTTCAAAGCTGTTTTTAGGCATGCTTTTAGCTAGAAACCCACCCAGAGCTGTTTCTAAAGATCATCAATAAGACCTTTTCCATCCTAAAAGAGATGGCAAACAAGGATAAGGACAGGAGGAGGAAAAATGCAAAGCTCTAAGGCCAATTATTAAAGTGACTGTTCTTATCACAACCAGCTAGGATGGAAACAGTTCAGGTAGCCTGATGAAATGATTGCTGGTGTGGTGACAGCTGGGAAGAGACAAAAGCCAGTCACAGTGCTCTTGTTTCCCTTTGCTCTACTGCCTGGCAGACAACATGATTTCTTAGTCTGTCGATGATGCACAAGGCTGTCAAACTGGTCTCATCTCAGATGAGACAGTCTTTCCTACATGAAGAGTAAAGGGAGATGGCTGTTTCAAGATGGGGATGACTTTCTACTGAAAAAAACCCCTTTCTCACTTTTTTAATGAGTACTTGTTGTAAAAAGCAAGGCATCATTGTGATTTGTGGCTTGAAAAGAAGAAAAAGGGGCAACCAAAAGGATTAGGAAGTGGAAGCCCCTCTCCTCCAAGTGGTTACAGTTTCTGGGGTTATTTGGTTTAGAAGACAGGCCAGTAAAAGGTGACCTAAAAGAGATGCAGAAATGTATGCATGGTGGGGAAAATGGTCACATGGAATGTTTCTTCTGCTTCATAGAAGAACCTGGGTCTATCCCACAAAACAAAGGTGGCAGTCACAAAATGCAATGACGGCCACCAACTTGGAGGTGGGGGGATCAACACATTAATGAGGAGAAGGCTGTCAGTAGCAAGATACTGTCTCCAGGTTCAGAAGCTGTGGAATGCCCATCTCCGGGGAATAAAACTAGGAGGAGACCCTGGCCTTCAGGTTCTGCTTTTGAGCTTCCCAGAGGCATCTGGGCAGGCAATAGAAACCTGATGCAACAGTATTAAGTCCAATCCAGAAGGGCACTTCTAATGCTGTTAATAAATGGAATGCAGTCAATTTCAATGGAGCTCTGTACTCTGTTACAAGGTTTTCCTTTAGAAGCAGTCTATCTGATTAATGGATTAAATGTGGCCTTAGATGGACCACACGCTGTGTTTGCCTGGACTGCAAGTACCAGAATCCTATTTTCTCATGGCTGGCTGGCCCCGACTGGGTTATCCCAAACACTTTTGGAGATGTACACGGCCAATCCCTTTGCATTAACTGACATTCAGGTCGCTCATAGCCTCTTCTCAAGGTTCGGGTAGTGCCCTGCAGTTAAAGGACTTCATTCTTTATTTAAGGATTGTAGGATTAGAGGCTTTGCCGTTGGCACAGAGCTGCAGAGGTGATGTCTCTTTGCATTTAAGGAAGCCTGCCAACAGTGTGTGTTTACCTAAGAATAAATCTTCATTTGCCCTTGAGTGTTTCTTCTACAGCTCTTGTCATATGCTGAATAATATTGCCTTCTCCTTTGGAAAATATGATTAGAGGATGGCAGCTGGGAGGAGGATGGCAGCTGGGAGGAGGGAAACAGTATGACCTCACTCCCAGGCTTTGAAGTAAAATTGAAACACGTTCTATTTTGCTGCTCGCCACTTCCCCGGGAGTGATGGATGAGGTCCCCTAGCTAACTTCCCTGAGACATCCAGGAAACCATCCAGCAATCGGCCGTTGAAGACATGGAGTGAGTGTGGCTGGCCGGGGGACTCCAGAGAACCAGATGCAGCCTGCAGGTTTGTGGGCTTGGCCTACAAGCTTGGGACTGAATGGCCCTGGTCAATGGACCATTGATAATTATAGTTTTGCAGGCGCAAGTCAAAATGCAGGAGTTGCCCTTCCCCACTGCTGCTCCGCCTAAATGTGCTTCAGATGGCTCTTCAGGGATAGATTTGGGGTGCACATGAGCTGGCAAGGATGGGAGAGTTCTATTTTGCCAGCTTTTTGCTCCTCTAGATCCATCTCCATGGGGTTTTCATTTATTTTATTTATTTAGGGAACTTCTATGCCGCCCTATTTGCCGAAGCCTCGGGGCGGCTCACAGACATAAATATCATATAAAACAATATAATTTAACAGTATAAATTAAGTCACCCTGGCCAAAGAAAAAATAAATATTAACAATTAAAATAACGTTTGAATAAAAAGGTCTTCGCCTGGCGCTGAAAAACAAATGACGGCACCAGGCGGACCTCTCTGGGGAGCGCATTCCATAGATTTTTGAATTGCTTTGGTTTCTTGGAATGTCCCTTAAAAACCTACCTTTGTGAAGATTTTTTGTAAATGGACTAGATATTCCAGCAGCCTGAACAAGCAAGACAGCTTCCCTGCTCTTAGAAAGGTTATTTTGGATGGAAAGGG